TATTAAGTGCTGCTCGAATTGATTTATTTTGAGCAATTTGTAATCTGTTCCAAATCTTATCTTCAGCATGTAAAAGAATCGAAGAACCATTGGTTAATATTGGTCGAATCAATGACTTATATATATTAAGCATGATCTTTTCATTTGAATCAGGAGTAATCCTATTTAAAAATCGAAGTAAGTTTATACGAGATTGAATTCTTGTTTCAATATGTTTCACATGTTCTTGCCAACGTAATTGTTTATCAAAAATAATTCCAAGATAGCGTGCAGATGTTTGTGGTCGTATATCAATATTAGATACTCTAAGATGAATAGGATTTGAATATTTTTTACGATGATGTGATGAAAAATGTATAAGTTCCGTTTTTGTAGGTTGAACAACAAGTTTCCATGCGTGGCACCATTGTACAAACTGATCAACAGATTCTTGTAGACGATCACGAACTCTAGATGTTGTATTGCTAGAAGTAAATATTGCAGTATCATCTGCAAAAAGTCCGTAATCAACTTTAAATGGAATAGAATTCATTGAATCTGATGTAAATAAAATATAAAGAAGAGGTGACAATGGACTGCCTTGAGGTGTTCTACTTTTAATTTCAAATAAATGAGAAAGTTGATTTTCAAGTTCAATTTGTGCTGTTCTTCTGCATAAGAATGACAAGTAACGCGCGTCGGAGCGACTCGCTTGACCCTCGACTGTGTGTGTGTACGTCTAAATACTGCTTTGTTTTATAAACATAATTTTGTTAGTATTAAAAGTGTACACGCATATGTGTTTAAATATGAATTGATTTGACTATTATACGGTAGTTAGAATTGAAGTATGGTGGTTTCATACATGAAACTATCATCTTTATCTACAAATTAGTACAACAAACTGCTTTCGAAGTTAATATTGTAAAATTCTCGTTTATATGTCTTGATAGTGAAAACTATTATAGGTTTGCTTTTTTCTTATAAATATCACGAAACGAGATAGATTTTAACAGATTATGTTAAACTGAAAATTAAGCGTGGATGATCAGAAGTGCGTCAACTTACAAATTCCTACGGTAGCACGGGTATTAGTATTATGTCGAGACAACAATAGAGAAAACTGCGTTTTATACTATTGCATATCGATATCTATGCTTGAATAATTGGAATGTAACTTGAGCAGAACAATCCTATACCGTGATGTGTTATGGAAAAAATGTTCGCTGTTACCAATTATGATCGCACTTCTACTGAATATCATTGTAGATAG